TCCTTCCTTAACCTAGACTTAAGATCTATGAACTTAAATAGCTTACGCCTCTCGATCTCGTAACTTTCCTATAGTTTCTGGATGGAAGCGCAGTAAAGAATTTAATTCACTGTGTCCGAATGACACTTCCTCATTAGATTACAGAATAGGGGAGCGATACCCTAATGTTTGCAAGAATTCAAAAAGGCCAATTGGCAGGAATGACTTACAATAGCCTTCTTTGTCCGGCTGTTTAATAAACAGTTGGGGTATCTCTCCTTCAGTCGTGATGTATTCACCTATCATTTATGTTAATAACACTGCCCAACTATTATAATTTCTTACTTGCTCTAGTAGTGGTGGGGCCTTTTAAGTGAATTTAGTTAGACCAATTCACACCCTGCCAGTTCCCCATCTGCCCACTGTCTAGTAATGATCCGAGTCTGCCCTTATAGTCGGCAATCATTTTACCCATGTCCTATAAGTATTTTTATGCCTCAGAATATTCGCCTCTTCCCTTGCAACTATAGATGTTAATCGAATATATGAAGACCAAGATGTTGTGGTCTCTGGTATGTTCGCAGTCTCGTTTCGATCTATAGCAGTGGGTTGACCTCGTTGTCGCAACTTGGTCTTGTTTTAAGGGTGACTTAGTAGAACGCACCTAGTCCGAAGTCGTCTGATATAGTAGTTGTCATGATTCCCAGCATCAAACAGTGAACTTGGTACATTCTCAAACGTTTTGCCGGCATCGTAGTCGGAATCATCAGTGAGTTTGCCATTCACTTGTCTCTTTGATGAGTTCGTAGCTTGGTGCGGAGAATGGCAAAACTCATTGATGATGCCGACTACGATGCCAGCGAAACGTTTAAGAATGTATCAAGTCAACTGTCTGATGCTAGGAATCATGACAACTACTTTTGGCAGACGACTTCGGATTAAGTGAGTTCTACTAATTTGCCCTGACAACGAGAACAAGTTGCGACAACGAGGTCAACTCACTTCTAGAGACGTTAAGTTTCACGTTCTACCTCAGGCATTTGATAGAGCTGGCATTTGCCAGCCTCACTGAGCAATCACCAAAGTCTATATTCTTAAGTGGCATAGAAACCTAACTGGACGCGGCAAATTCCCTTATCAATGTTCGACATGTTCACCAAGTAAATCTTGTTTTCAAGCCTTTTATTAACAAGCCAGGTCTATGATTGAACCAATGTACTGCAAGTTATTTTTCTCTAGTTTGCAAAGCATCTCTCGCAGTTCTATGCATTATGCAAAGTCTACAACTTTCCAATAGTCTAGTTTATGTATGAGATATATTCACTCAATTTCCCACAATGTAGCAAGCTCACATTCTGCGCTGTCACGGTTCGACTCCCGCTGGGGGTGTTGATAATACCGATGCGAGGTCCAAACCCCCATCCACTCTAGATGAGAACAAATTTTGGGTAAGCAAGGCTATGTGAAATTCAGTCGAAACGTCAGCTTTACTCATATAATTGTGGGAAAATTCTTCTACCAGTCCTTCATCACCTTAAACAAAATTGGGTTAATACATCTCATATTACCGATTTACTGGTAGTCTCGAAACAATACTTAAATGCGAAAAATATAGTTTATGTATGCCAAAAAAATGTTAATCGAAGATAAGAAGACGAAGATAGTGTGGTCTTTTGTATGGTCGCAGTATCCTTTTAATGTATATAAGTTGTTTGACCCTATTTTGGCAACTTGGTTATATTGGTAAGAAAACAGAAAGGAATACTCGGGATATTTGGCCTCAAGTTAGTACATTCCAAGACGTTTACGTTTCGCGGGTATCGTCATTGAGCCTTACCATCCTTAGCACCACATTACAACTCAACAAAGTGAAGCCGATCCCTTGCCCAATTGTCTGCTAAACAATTGTGGTATATCTAGGCTATTCACCAATCCTCTATCCTCGTATCATCCCTTCACTAGCAAAATTTCTTAAATCTTTATTTGAATGCGGTATAGTGTGCCCTTTTGAGCGAATTTCATGAGAAATTTACACACCCCACACTGACTTCCTCAACCCCTCACCAACCTTCATTTTTGTGATGGAAATGTTGATCAGAATCTGCCATTCTATTCTGAAATCATTTTCCCATAGGTCTTATCAGCCTCCATCTTGCCTCGTATGATCCGCCTCCTACCTTCCTGGTTCAGGTATATCACTCGGCCCCTGCCATCCTATCTGTACTACTCGAAGCGTTATTTCTCACAGTCTCAAGTATTTGATGATACGCATACTCCCACCTCACTGAGTAGGTCCCTAACAATCAGAATTCTCAATCTGAATGGGAGACTAACTTAAGGCAAAAGATTCAGAGTAATTATCATTGTCAAGCCTTTGCTTCATGGACCACGTCTATAATCAAACGCGTCTACTGTTAGCCAACTAGCCATAGTATCTGCCGTATCTATCGTGCTTTTAGAAATTGCAGTCTATCCTGGATGAAAATACATTTAAGAAAATTAAAACATGATGCCCATTCCCATCAATGCACAAAAAGTAAACTGTTAGTCCTTCATTACCTTACCATTACGAAATCGAATGGAAATAGAGAGAAGGAAACCAGAGGAACAATCGGAAACCAAGAAGAGACGCCTATTGTGAGCCTAATGAAATCAAGTCGGCACTCATGAGACTTGGAAATAAGAAAATCATAGACTTGGCACAAGATAAATGTTGGTGAACATTGAGAGTTAGGCATTAGTAGATAAGTTTGCTCATAGACCTGTACTATGACGTAAAGGTTTGACCACGATATTTACTCGGTGCACATATCGCAAAGTGATAAGGGCATCTGCAGCGTCAAGTTAGGTTGCCATGTCAATTGAGAATCCAGACAGTAGGGGCTTGCTCATTGATACTGGTGGATAAGTGATATCAAAAGCTTGTGGCAAAGTGTAGAACAGAGTTAAGTGCGGCAATATAGTGAAATTATTGAATCAGGCAGATAAGGGAAGGATCCTTCGGAGCAAGAGGCGGACTCTGATAGGAGGGGCGATACTAGGAAATGGGTTACGTGAATAGCCCAGAACAGAATGAGAGATAAAACTGTTAAACAGACAATTGGTCAGAGGAGCGACTTCATTTGTCTCTTTCACGAGTTGTCGTGTGATGCCAAGACCTGCAAGGTTCATTGACGACGCCGACTGCAATGCCGGCGAAACGTCTGAAAGTGTACCAAGTCTAGGGTCCAACTATAAATTATCATGCATACTATGGACTCCAAACAAGGTGCATTCTTCTAGGTCTTTCTGCCAATATGACCAATGTGAAAACACAACCAAACAACCACTATACAACGAAAGGAGAACGTGACTATACAAAAGACCACGCCCTTTTGATCTTCAAATCTACGATATATTAAGGGACTCTTCGAAACCCAGTTTATTTACATATTACCTATCTTCTTCTCTGCTACCAATGAATAAATATTAGAAACACAATTACCTAATGCTAGATCTTTTCTGTTTAAGCTATAGCGGTTGAGTAAAATTCTCGGGCCGAGAAAGGACTAGGTGTGTTTGGCATAAACAAAGTTATAAAGGGTTTTTTGATTAGGTGATTTTTATAGTATGATGTCAGCCAAACCTTAAATAAAATAGTGAATAAACTTGGCTTACTATTTGTACCTTGTCGGGCTAGTATTTCTTTCAATGGGGTGTTTTACCAGTTTGTATGCATTTGATAAAATAGTTATTCTGCCTTAATTAGATCAGGGAAAGCATTAATATGAAAAAGAATATAATGACAACTCTAAATGAAAAGTATTTTATGAGCTTTTATCTTAGCTAGGATTTTCAATACCATCATTTTTTTCTATAAAGCCTAAATAAGTAGCTTTATGTTTCGTATTTGAGTATAGTTTTATCTCATACTAAGTAGTTTTAGTCATAAAAGCTAAATTATCACACATTTATACATGACATTCTGACAACTCAACCTTAGTTTAACGTGAATGCGAGATAATCATGACTGACTTTGCCTAACGTGCTTGTAGTAACCCTCAAGACTATTAATATAATAAGATGATTTGGAAAACTTAAGAGTGCAAATATTTTATCTAATTGTCTGTGATTGTATGCAAAATCAGGACTCACAGCAGTGTTCTGTTCATTAAGATTAATTTGGCCCATCGTGATAAAGGCAGAGGCAGACAATCGATTAAGCTCCTCCTCATTCCCAAGTCGAACTGTCTCTCTCAAATAGGCCTTGGCATCGAGGAGATGATTTTCATAAAAAGCCTGGAAAGCACGAACATATGCTGCAGCTGCTCGAAGGCAAACACATCCCTCAAGGACGTGCATACCAGAGCTGAACACTTCATTCAAAAGGGCCTAAAAGGACAGGATATATGCATGAATGTTGTGGAATATATCATTCATGATTCATTATAAATATAAAGAAATACCCAAAGAAGAAATGGATAAGAAAGGCACTTTTTAAGAAAATAAAAAAGTAACTAAACTATTTAAAATATTAAAGTACATATTTGCTTAAAGCCCGAATAGTTGCATTCAAATCTATCCATCAGTAAAGAGATGTATGAACCATAATGTAAATATGTTCAAATGAAGACACGTGAATCAAGAGAAATTATGAGTTTTAAGCTTTGGAAATAATAAGTGATTTGCAAAACATAAATATAAGCGTATTAAACATAAAATGTGGCAAAAATTGAACCACATATCAATACATTCACCATTTTGATTTAGGCAATGAACAGCACAAGTCTAAGTCTAATTATTTAAAAGATCAAGTGATATTAAGTAAACTCCCTCGTTCAGTAATTTCACTCGATCCCCGCCACCATATCCATGCTACTCCAGGCGTTATTGTCTACAGTCCGCCTCAAAGCCTTGACAACACATATACGCCAACATCACTGAGCAAGTCACCAATGACTGGATTCTCAATTGGCATGGAAATCTAAGTTGACGCTGCAGATTTCCTTATCACTGTTCAGCATGCGCACTGGATAAATCTCGCCGTTAATAGCCAACAACCTATGGCCACCACAGCATCTTTCGCTCTTCTATTCATAGGGCCAAATTTATGAGATTCGTATGCCCTAGTCTATTATGTGCCGACCCCCAAATGTGATAGTTCTATTTGATTTGAATAGGCTCACTGTAGGCGTCTCCTGTTGGTTTCGTATTGTTATTCAGTGGTCTCCATGCAATTTCATTTGCTCAAATTGACAATATTTCCATGATCTAGTTGTCTTCCTTTTGCTGATCTTGCTGTTTCCTGATCGCATTGTTTGCTCAAACAACACACAAAGTTTTCACAAATCCGGCATTCGTCAAGTCTCCTGTTCACTAGATATCTTTTGTATGAGATGTATACACCCTATTTCGTTTAAGCTGATGAAGGACTGGTAATAGAATTTTCCTACAATGCTATGAGTAGAGCTGACGTTTCCATTGAATTTCACATAGCCTTGCTTCCCCAAAAGTTGTTCTAATCCAGGCTGGACTGCAGTTTCGACCTCGCATAGGTCTTATCAACACCCCCAGCGGGAGTCGAACCGTGACAGTGCAGAATGTGAGCTTGACACGTTAATCACTCGGCCACATTGCCACGAGTGCCCTTGGGTCACAGGACAGATGTGAATTTCAAGGAAGGCCGTGCCTTTTCCCATATGACATTCTTTGGTGGGATTCTCGATGAAGCAAACGTATTTTTGCTATAACAATCGACTAA